CTATAGTTTAGAAGAAGAGAAGGTGGTGGTGTTCTCTAGTGAAGCTTGGCTGAGTGCATGAGGTAAGATGTGGGATTCTTTCAGTTAAATGATAATTTGGCAGAGCCCAAATAGTAAATATGAAAAAAATAATTATTAAGACTTTAACTATATATTTTGTACTTCCTCATCTCCTCAATGGAAGAACATAAAGACTCAAGAGCTCAAGACATTTACCAGCCATTTTACATTATCTCATAACTATACCTCATATGAAGGTAGGCGTGATGGATATTTTCACGCTGGGTTCTTTCTACTTATTTCATTTATTTATTTTTGGCAATCATACTGACCTAAGAAACCATCCAAAGTGACAGGATAAATACTGTACAGTACTATTCAGCTCTGAGGTACGACTCAAACCTTCTGTCATACATATTGTAAGTGCTCCAAGTAGAGGATTAACCTATTCAGCACAAGTGCATACGTCAGTCACCACCAGTAGCTGCCAATACTGAAGCAAATGTCACAAGTGCCCAACAATATACAAACACACAATGGCAGTGTTTTGGTTTTACTTCCTTATCTTGTACCTAACAATCTATATAAGAATGAATACAAGAGATTTTTCCTTCCAGCTACATAATGGAAAGAATGAAAAACTATTTCACATTATTTCCACTATGAAATTGCACCTTCATATTACATGCAAGAAGGGTTCGTGTCTTATTAAGAGCATTACTAAACCATCCCTATGAATTCTAAACTCAACATCAATGTTAAATAAATGTGATGGTGTGATTATAAAATAATTGCATATGTAACCATTCACATGAATTACTGCAAGGTAAGATTTGGCACAGTACAGCAGGACACATAAGTATGCAATGCCACCTGTGGCTAACCTCTAAATATAACATCACATTAATACAAAAATATTTCAGAATCTGTTCACATAATACTGATTATTCCCAACACTAAGCATACATATTTAAACTCATTTCAAGATTTATTCATAAACAAACCCTGATACAAGAATAAATATCCCAAATCACAGAATAAGGAATATTATCATGAATCTGGAGCTGAATTATCTAAGTATTGACGAGAACAATACCTGGGCAGTGAGCAAGCAAGAACTGATGACTCATAATTCACTTTCCTTTACTCTATCCATCAGGTACAGTTGGCATCGAGACAATGAGAGATATAAGGCTTAAGTCCCACATTAACCCTTGTGCACAGTGTTCAACCTCATGCATTCTTGTTTCCTTATAACCTTTGCCTGCACATTTATGTCACCATAGTCAGGGGATTAAATTATAGCAGCACTTGTGATCCCTGCTGCCAGTAACAAGTTCATCTCGAGCACCAATGTGTACATACACTTGTCTTTTGTGACCAGATATACCCATCGTGACGTTGTGATACTGCCTGCCTCGTAAGTACTCACTGATGTGAAGAAAAAAAAAGATATTCATGCCAAGTTTAAGACATTATGCATATATATCATCAGTGGCGGCTCGTGAAAAATAAAATGGAGGGACTGCAAGCCTCACACAACAGTAGGATACACAAATTTGACCTACCTCAGGTATGAGTTGAAGTTGATGTCCACGAATTCCCAGGGCATGGTAGTAGTGTTGGTGGTAGAAGGTGGTGATGGACCAGTATTAATTGAAAATAAAGTCGGTGTGTCTGCTCTTCGATGTAGCAAAATTGTTTATCACTATTTCATTAAAATCCTTTATTTCTGTTATCATTTTATTTTCAATGGATATCACTGCTAAAGCAGACAGTCTGTCATTTACCATGTATTACTTGAAAATAAAGTCCGCGCGTCTGCTCTTTGATGTAGCAAAATTGTTTATTACTATTTCATTAAAATCCTTTATTTCTGTTATCATTTTATTTTCAATGGATATCACTGCTAAAGCAGACAGTCTGCCATTCACCATGGTACTGCGCAAAAAAGTTTTAATTCTCTTCAAAGTTGAAAAGCACCTTTCTGCTTCTGCCGTTGTCATTGGAGTTGTTATTAAAATTTTCAGCAACTTGACAGTGTCTGAAAATGTTGACTGTAGATTATTGTCATTCATCATCTCCAACAAGTCTATGAGACTTTCTGATTTACACAAATCACGATTTAACCACACCGTCCACACGCAATGTAAACACGTTGTACGAGACTGAGCTGCTTCAAGTGCAGCTCATTGTGCGGCGGCGGCGATAACAGACATGAATCGTACAGCATTGACAGCAACTATGAAAGTAACTTAAATTTTGGTCTGATTTTAATGAAAATTCACTTAGCAACGTATTGAAAATAATTAAATAACATATAAAATGATATATTTGTTGGTAGTGTATTATTCAGCTGTCTCTCTAAAGGAATCATACGCCTGGCAGTGAGTGTCTGGGGGTCCTGCAGCTCTGCAGCCCTATGCACGAGCCGCCACTATATATCATATACATACAGTTCGTACACTCACAAGACCTGTATACCCCCACACTACCCTACAGTCATATCCCTTTATACATACATGCAGGCAACCTATATTTTTTTCTTTATAATTTTTCTTCATATTTATATTTTTTTGTAAGCTTTACAAATCTAATTAACTGTTTATTTTTGGAACAGCCCTAAATTTATAAGTTCAATTATTTATTAATTTTTATGAAGTATTCCCAAATCAGGTTTAATAATTGAAAACTTAAAAAAAAGATGATCAATTCAACTATCTGAACTGAATTTTCTTACAGGTGATATATAATAAACTCACCTGTGTGTTACCCCTCATGTGAGTGATTGTGAACCATGACTCATGTCTTCAGTGTTAAGGTACTGTACTACTGAACTTCAAGTACTGAACACAACACACCACATGGAGAAGTTTATATATATATATATATATATATATATATATATATATATATATATATATATATATATATATATATATATATATATATATATATATATATATATATATATATATATATATATATATATATTTCAGGAATGTTGATTCCCACTCTTAAACATCCTGAGATTTTAATTATTGGATAACCAATGATACACTACCTGTCCTCGTAGTCCTCAACTCTTAATGGTAATGGGTAAATGAGGCATAATCACTCTCAGATAACAGAGGTGAGATTGGTGCCACTGTCTCTCTTCCTTGGCACTCTGCACAGTTGTTTCAAGCCACCTTTGGTATAGTCTATCACATGTTATCACTGAGATGCACTTGGTAAGTTTGGTAACCTCTTGCCAAGTTAGCTAAGAAGGAGGTGTTCGCATTATAAATTGTAGTGGGAAAGGTTAGTTATCATTCTAACCACTTGTTGTCACAATTATTTGCAAGATACAGCATTCCCATCTACACAAATATGAACTGTATTGTAATTATTGTATAAAATGTGTGTTAAATAAGTTTTCTTTGTCAACAACACTGTACATGAGATCGTTCAATAGTAAGTAACGAATGAGCAGCACAAGACACCTTGCTCACGACTAGGCAGTCTGATATTAAATAATTAGCGGCGAACAAACCTCATTTGATGAGTATTAAGAGTAGCTCTATGTTGCACCATTCACATATGGTTCATCAACCACCAATATTGAACTGTTTGCAATATAATATGTCATCAACATAAAAAATCTATATTTTACATCGTACTTGCTGTCCAATGTAGACATTTTAGATGGAGTTAAACTGGAGGCTCATCAATCTTGTGAGAGTTTTGTCAGCCGCTGAAAGTGAAAGACTGGTGTGGGATGGGCTACAAACATGCCCGATGATCACAACACTCGCGGACGGGAGTGGGAAGGCCAGCCCGGGGCTCGGTGACTTGCTTAAGAAACAAAATACAAAAAAAAATAAAAAATAAATAATAATAATAATAATTATAATGATAAATAAAAAACAGAGTTACAATCACCATCGATGTTTAAGCAAATGTGCTTATTATCAAAGTGAGCTGACCACTTTTCCAAACTCCACACACTCACATAGATCTTGTAGTGGACGTCTCCCCTACAACTGCCTACAACTGCGTAGCGGCGTCACCAAGCTACTACCGCCTTCCCTAGCAACCAACCAGATGTTACCGTATCTTAGCAACGGAACTAGTGACCGGCGACTTTCTGGGTTTTCCCAACATGACTCATAGCGGCTGCTGGGTATATAAGCTCTGTCTCTCTATTGAGATTCATTCTGCCCATCTTCCTGAACAAGCAACACCTCCTCCAGCAAGCTCCACGCTGTTAACATTTATTCAACCAGGAGGCCAACAACAGGCAACATCTTCTCTAACGAAGCTCCTGCACATCTACCTCCTTCAACACGCTACTCACCGAACGTCTTCTACTGAGCAGCTCCCCACCACACGGCATCTCCAGAACCAGACTGTCTATCATATAACTTATACCGGGTATATTATACAAGAAAACCACATTAGAGTTTCCTTCCATCCTGAGTGCTAGACAACATTAATACCATCGATACCCCTACAAGATCCTCATTGATGTAAACTCTGATTTTGACAATCACAACAAAATGTTCTCTCATTTTAAGGCAGAGAATGAGAGACAAGTGCTTTGGTGTCGTAACCTTGCCCAGAAATAATGTTGTAAAATGTTTTTAATGAGGTGGAAGTAATTTTCAGAGCCAATAGAAAGCTCAACAAAATTGTTAACTGGTGGAAATAAAATGTTTAAGCCGATTTACAATATATATATATATATATATATATATATATATATATATATATATATATATATATATATATATATATATATATATATATATATATATATATATATATATATATATATATATATGTTTATACTGTTAATCAACTTATACATTTTATGTCCATCAGTTAACAATTTTGTTGAGCTTTATTTTTTCTTTATATATTATCTTGCAACATTTTATTTATAAATTTAACGTAAAAAATAGTTATGTTTATAAAAGTTTACAATAAAATGCAACTTGCACTCGATATCATACAGGTTTACGAATCCGGATCCATGATACACGACTCACGAACGGTCCCACAACAACAACAACAACACCGACACCTACACTTGGATGTTCAGGTACTTTATCATTTATTTTACCAACAGGTGAGTATTATACCTTAATTCAAGTAGAATGGCTAAGAGGATGATATGAGTAAATGTTTTTTTTCTTCTTGGGTGGCTTAGGGTGTGTAATGTAAGGAGTGTTAGTCCATTAATGAGGGTTTAGAACTGAAGTGCCCCTCGTGGATTGTGCAAGTCGACATATACCATAGAAAACAACTTTTTTTTTTGGATCACCTGAAGAATAATCTCCCCAGCTTATTTCACCTAAAGATTAAACCACCCTAAACCATTGTGGGAGGATGAGTTTAGGTTAGGATATGTTAGGTTAGATTTAGGTTAGGATAGAATAGGTTTAGGTTAGGTTAAGTTAGCATTAAGGTAGTTAATCTTCAGGTGAAATAAGCTGGGACGATGATTCTTCAGGTGATCTTTTTTTTTTTTTTTTTTACTTTAAGAGCACCACAAATCAAAGAGTATGAATTGCCATGTTTGTGTTTTTCCCAAACATTTCTGAGTTAAAATTATCGTTTCGGTCATCCACCTATTTGGAAGTTGAAATTATGTTTTTCCGATGGGTTTTTAACGATTCTGACTTAATTTCTACCGGAAATCACTACTTTTTGAGCTACCCCCCTTCTCCATCGATAATGGGGGACCCCAGTGGGAACCTGAGGTTTTGGTTGGGGAAAATCACAAAAAGTAGTAATTTGCAATAGAAATAAATTTTCAAAATTGTACACACTTCAGGTGGCTTTTTCAGGTGGCTTTATTTCCCAGGGTACACAATACAGGGTGGCTTTATTTCCAAGAGTACACAAAACAGAGTGGTTTTATTTCCCAGGATACGCAATACATGGTCGTTTTATTTCCCAGGGTACGCAATACAGGGTGGCTTTATTTCCCAGGGTACGCAATACAGGGTGGCTTTATTTCCCAGGGTACGCAATACAGGGTGGCTTTATTTCCCAGGGTACACAATGCAGGGCGGCTTTATTTCCCAGGGTACACAATACAGGATGACTTTATATCCCAGGGTATTTCCAAGATGGAATTGTTCAGTCGTGTGAGAGAAGAGAGAGCGGTGTTGACCCATTGCATGATTTTACGCCACTCTTGCTTGACGATGGAATGCGCTGAGCGGTGTGTGTGTGTGTGTGTGTCCCGTCTCCCTCCACAACAGCCATCCTTGGGTTACATCCTGTAAGTCTGAGTCAGTTAGGTTGTATGAAGTTCACACAAAGCAGTATCGTGTTTGCCTCTCACCACTTGACTTATTAAATCAGGTTGTATATCAGCTTCGGTCCGAACCTGAGGCGTGTGTGTTGTCCACAAGTGGCACAGTACAGTGCATCATGGCGTAGAATGTAGATGATAGCAGAGGTAGATCTAGGGGGTCCTGGGGGTGCGGACCCCCTTTTCGCCAGAAAATTGCAATACTTTTTCTTTAATGCAATTGCCTCGCTTATACTACAGACGGGCAAGGGGCCCAAGGGGGGACCTAATTGAGGTGTATAAACATCTGGACGGGCACTACTCAGTCGAGTGTCCTTACCTTGAGCTGGCGGACGCTCACCCCACAAGGGGTCACAGCTCAAGGTTAAAGAAGCCACAAGTCCAGAAAACTGTGAGGGGGTCAGTGGTTTATGTCATCAAGTTTTTGGAAGCTCCAACAACTCCCTGAATACGAATTCGCAACTTTCGACTTACAACAGGTACCTACTGTACTGCTAGGTGAACAGGGACTAATGGGGGCTAGGAAGTAAGTCCCAACAACTTCCACCGGGCCGGGAATCGAACCCGCGACATCTCGCTTGCCAGGCAAGCTTTGACTCTACTGGCTTCTACACCCTTAACTCATGAGACATAAAGGCAAGTATGAACTTAGCATGCTTCCCTGTTGGGCGCTGTAAACGCTTCTGCGCTTCACCTTACACAAGGATGTAGGGGAGTGCCCAATAAAAAAAAAAATTAAATAAATAAACCTGTGAGGGTAACTTTTTCGGAGTGAGAGTTGTGAACTCTTGGAACAATCTGCCAGAGAGTGTTGTGACGGCACCAAGTGTGAACTCTTTCAAGACCAGACTTGACCAACACTGGAGCGGGTTCAGGTACATTCAAGAGCCGGTGCATGCCCAGCACTTGCCAACAGTGCGTAACAGAGACGTGACCGATCACCCAAGCGGCTAACGAGTCGATCAGTGGTGAAGAGGATAAAAGTAAAAAAGTACAAGTATTGTACTCGGGTATTTTTGTATAGTAAAATGTAATTACTACTGGCCTCATAATATTTCCTAATATCAAGTGCACATGGCTTCAAAATGGCCTCAAAATGTCCATAATATTGGTCAGATTTAACAACCCCAAAAAATAATTTTGGAATGGTTTACAGTGCCCCCCCCCCTTTTATATTCATGGATCCGCCCTTAGATAGTGTATAAAGTATATAATAATCATAACATTTAATTACATGAGGGAGGGGGGGGGTTCTTTAACAAGGAATTTCGGGGTAACTATAGTACAAAAAGGAGATAGGCAAGGAAATGAACACGAGTTATCTACGAGTTGTGTGTCTGCGTGTTTCATTGGATTCTGAATATTGATATGTGGAGAGTCAATCATCAGTAGGTAAGCGGTACTCAATAAATGGGGGGGAAATAGTTCATAAACATAATATTAATAAACTTGGGTGCAGTAACTCTAGTGGTTATGGATCACCTGCAGATTATCCCCTACCACAGGATGATTAAACACCTTAATGCTACCTGTGGGTTAGGTTAGGTCAGGTCAGATTAAGTTTGCTAAGGTACTTGATTAAATTGTTTGTATCTAGTTAAATTGTTGTACTGTATTTATTAAAGTTATACTGTATCTAGTTAATCTGTTACTGTACTATATACCATAACTAGTGACTCGGGTCCACTATATGTACAGTATACGGTATTTCAGATGGCTCGTGGGCGAGGAAGAGGGCGGAGAGGAGCCACCAAGCGCAAGACTACCGAGGACGAGTAAGTTATCATTATTGTTTGTACTCGGTGGGTAAATTTTTGACTTAATAACTTGTCAAGCGTCAAAAGTGTGATGTTATACGATAGTGAAACAAGGGCAGTAATTGAGGCTTGAGTGAGCTGAAATGGAGAGGTGGATGTGAAATGTTAAATTGAAAGATTGGAAAAAATATTCAGAGCTTAGAGTATTGGTAGAGAAGGAAGGCTGAGATGGTTTGGTCATATGGAGAGAATGGGGGAAACCAACTGGGTGAAGAGTTGCATGAGTTTCAGTGGGAAGGGGAGGAGAGCTAGTAGACCAAGAATGTGGAGGGAGGAGAGCTAGTAGTACAACAATGTGGAGGGGAGGAGAGCTAGTAGACCAAGAATGTGGGGGGAGGAGAGCTAGTATTACAACAATGTGGAGGGGAGGAGAGCTAGTAGACCAAGAATGTGGAGGGGAGGAGAGCTAGTAGACCAAGAATGTGGGGGGAGGAGAGCTAGTAGTACAACAATGTGGAGGGGAGGAGAGCTAGTAGACCAAGAATGTGGGGGGAGGAGAGTAGTAGACCAAGAATGTGGGGGGAGAGCTAGTAGACCAAGAATGTGGGAGGCTAGTGGACCAGAATGTGGGGGGAGGCTAGTAGACCAAGAATGTGGGGAGGAGAGCTAGTAGACCAAGTGTGGGGGAGGAGGCTAGTAGACCAAGAATGTGGGGGGGAGGCTAGTAGACCAAGAATGTGGGGAGGAGAGCTAGTAGACCAAGAATGTGGAGGAGAGCTAGTAGACCAAGAATGTGGAGGGGGGAGGAGAGCTAGTAGGTCAAGAATGTGGAGGGAGGAGAGCTAGGAGTAGACCAACAATGTGGGGAGGAGAGCTAGGGTAGACCAACAATGTGAAGGGAGAGAGCTAGGAGTAGACCAACAATGTGGAGGGGGAGGAGAGCTAGGGAGGAACCAACAATGTGGAGGGAGGAGAGCTAGGGTAGACCAACAATGTGGAGGGAGGAGAGCTAGGAGTAGACCAACAATGTGGAGGAGAAGAGCTAGGGAGTAGACCAACAATGTGGAGGGGGAGGAGAGCTGGAGTGGGCCAACAATGTGGGAGGAGGGAGGCTGGGAGTAGACCAACAATGGAGGGGAGGAGAGCTAGAGTAGGCCAACAATGAAGAGGAGAAGAGCGGAGAAGCTAACAATGTGGAGGAGGAGAGCTAGGAGTAGGCCAACAATGGAGGGAGAGAGCTAGGAGTAGACCAACAATGGAGGGGAGGAGAGCAGAGTAGGCCAACAATGTGAAGAGGAGAAGAGCTAGAGAGGCCAACAATGGGAGGGGAGGAGAGCTAGAGTAGGGCAACAATGTGGGAGGGGAGGAGAGCTAGGAGTAGACCAACAATGTGGAGGGGAGGAGAGCTAGAGTAGACCAACAATGTGGAGGGGAGGAGAGCTAGAGAAAGCAACAATGTGAAGAGAGAAGAGCTAGGGAGAAGCAACAATGTGAAGAGGAGAAGAGCTAGGAGAGACCAACAATGTGAGGGGAGGAGAGCTAGGAGTAGACCAACAATGGAGGGGAGGGGAGAGCTAGGAGAGGCCAACAATGTGGAGGGGAGGAGAGCTAGAGTAGACCAACAATGTGGGAGGGGAGGAGAGCTAGGGAGGACCACAATGGGGAGGGGAGGAGAGCTAGGAGACCAACAATGTGAGGGGAGGAGAGCTAGAGTAGGCCAACAATGTGAAGAGGGAGAAGAGCTAGAGTAGGCCAACAATGTGAGAGAGGGAGAAGAGCTAGGGAGTAATGTGGGAGGGGAGGAGAGCTGGGAGTAGAGCTAACAATGTGAGGGGAGGAGAGCTAGGAGTAGGCAACAATGTGGGAGGGAGGAGAGCTAGAGTAGGCTAACAATGTGGGAGGGGAGGAGAGCTAGGAGAAAGCAACAATGGGAGGGGAGGAGAGCTAGGAGAGACAACAATGTGGAGGGGAGGAGAGTTGTAGAGGCCAACAATGTGGGAGGGGAGGAGAGCTAGGAGTAGGCTAACAATGTGGGAGGGGAGGAGAGCTAGGAGTAGACCAACAATGGGAGGGAGGAGAGCTAGGAGAAGGGCAACAATGTGGGAGGGGAGGAGAGAGAGTAGGGCAACAATGTGGAGGGGAGGAGAGCTAGGAGAAGCAATGTGGGAGGGGAGGAGCTAGAGTAGGCCAACAATGTGGGAGGGGAGGAGAGCTAGGAGTAGACCAACAATGTGGGAGGGAGGAGAGCTAGGGAGTAGGCCAATGTGGGGAGGGGAGAGCTAGGAGAAGCAACAATGTGAAGAGGAGAAGAGCTAGGGAGAGACCAACAATGAGGGGAGGAGAGCTAGAGTAGGCTAACAATGTGAGGGGAGAGCTAGGGAGAGGCTAACAATGTGGGAGGGGAGGAGAGGCTAGGAGTAGGCCAACAATGTGGGAGGGGAGGAGAGCTAGGAGTAGCCAACAATGTGGGAGGGGAGGAGAGCTAGGAGTAGACTAACAATGTGGGAGGGGAGGAGAGCTAGAGTAGGCCAACAATGTGGGAGGGAGGGGAGAGCTAGAGAAGCAACAATGGGAGGGGAGAGAAGTAGAGACCAACAATGTGAGGGGGAGGAGAGCTAGGAAAAACAATGGAGGGGAGGAGAGCTAGAGTAGGCCAACAATGTGAAGAGGAGAAGGAGCTAGGAGTAGCAAACAATGTGGAGGAGGAGAGCTAGAGTAGACCAACAATGAGGGGAGGAGAGCTAGAGTAGACCAACAATGGGAGGGGAGGAGAGCTAGGAGTAGGCCAACAATGTGGAGAGGGAGAAGAGCTAGGGAGTAGCCAACAATGGGAGGGGAGGAGAGCTAGGAGTACCAACAATGGGAGGGGAGAGTAGGAGAGACAACAATGGGGAGGGAGGAGAGCTAGAGAACAATGTGAAGGGGAGGAGAGTAGAGAGACCAACAATGAAGAGGAGAAGAGCTAGGAGAGACCAACAATGGGGGAGGAGAGTGAGAAGCAACAATGTGAAGAGGAGAAGAGCTAGAGAGACCAACAATGTGGGAGGAGGAGAGCTAGGAGTAGGCCAACAATGTGAGAGGGAGAAGAGCTAGGGAGAGACCAACAATGTGGAGGGAGGAGAGCTAGGAGAGGCCAACAATGTGGAGGGGAGGAGAGCTAGGAGAGGCCAACAATGGGAGGGAGGGGAGCTAGAGCAGACTAACAATGTGGGAGGGGAGGAGAGCTAGAGACAACAATGTGGGAGGGGAGGAGAGCTAGGGAGAAGCAACAATGTGGGAGGGAGGAGAGCTAGAGTAGACCAACAATGTGGGAGGGGATGAGAGAGAGTAGCAACAATGTGGGAGGGGAGGAGAGCTAGACAACAGGGGAGGGGAGGAGAGTAGGGAGAGACAATGGGGAGGGGAGGAGAGCTAGAGAAGCAACAATGTGGGAGGGGAGGAGAGAGAAGGGAGGGGAGGAGAGCTAGAGAGACAACAATGTGAGGGGAGGAGAAAGTAGAGAAGCAATGTGGGGGGGAGGAGAGCTAGGGAGAAGGACAATGTGAGGGGAGGAGACAGAGAGACCAACAATGTGAGGGGAGGAGAGCTAGAGAGACCAACAATGGGAGGGAGGAGAGCTAGGAGAGACCAACAATGGGAGGGGAGAGCGAGTAGGCCAACAATGTGAGGGGAGAGCCAGAGAACAACAATGTGGGAGGGGAGAGCTAGGAGTAGGCAACAATGTGAGGAGAGAAATAGGGAGAGACCAACAATGTGGGAGGGGAGGGGAGAGCTAGAGAGACAACAATGTGAGGGGAGGAGAAGGGAGAACAACAATGTGAGGGGAGGAGAGCTGGAGAAGCAACAATGTGGGAGGGAGAGTAGAGAGACCAACAATGTGAGGGGAGGAGAGTTAGAGTACAACAATGGGAGGGAGGAGAGCTAGGAGAAGCAACAATGTGGGAGGGGAGGAGAGCTAGGAGAAGCTAACAATGTGAGAGGAGGAGAGCTAGGAGAAAGCTAACAATGGGAGGGGAGGAGAGCTAGGAGTAGGCCAACAATGAGGGGAGGAGAGCTAGAGTAGACCAATGTGGGAGGGAGAGAGCTAGAGACCAACAATGTGGGAGGGGAGGGGAGAGCTAGAGTAGAGTCAACAATGTGGGAGGGGAGGAGACAGAGAAGGTCAATGTGGGGAGGGAGGAGAGTAGAGAGGCAACAATGTGGGAGGGGAGGAGAAAGTAGGGAGTAGGCAACAATGTAGGGGAGGAGAGTTAGAGAGGGTGAGGGAGAGAGTGAGAGGGGAGGGGAGAGAGAGAGACACATGTGGGAGGGGAGGAGACAGACAATGTGGGAGGGGAGGAGAAGTAGAGACCAACAATGTGAGGGAGAGACAGGGAGAGACAACAATGTGGGAGGGGAGGAGCTAGGAGTAACATGGGAGGGGAGGAGAAAAGGAGGAGGGAGGGGAGGGGAGTAGAGAGACTAACAATGTGAGGGAGGAGAGCTAGGAGTAGACCAACAATGTGGAGGAGGAGAGCTAGGAGGGCCACAATGTGGAGGGGAGGAGAGCAGAGAGACCAACAATGTGGAGGGAGGAGAGCAGAGTACCACAATGTGGGAGGGGAGGAGAGCTAGAGTAGACCAATGTGAGGGAGGAGAGCTAGAGAAGGCCAATGTGGGAGGGGAGAGAGTAGGAGACTAACAATGTGGGAGGGGAGAGAGTAGAGAAGCAACAAGGGGGAGGGGAGAGTTAGGGAGAAGACAATGGGAGGGGAGAGAGTAGAGTAGACAACAATGGGGAGGGGAGAGTAGAGAAGCAACAATGGTGGGGGAGGAGAGCTAGAGAGAGCAACAATGGGAGGGAGAGAAAGTAGGAGAGACAAGAATGGGAGGGAGAGAAGTAGGGAGAGAGACTAACAATGTGAGGGGAGGAGAGATAGAGAAGCAACAATGAGGGGAGGAGAGGAGTAGGCCAACAATGGGAGGGGAGGAGCTAGGAGAGACCAACAATGTAGGGGAGGAGAGCTAGAGTAGACCAACAATGTGGGAGGGGAGGAGAGCTAGAGACTAACAATGTGAGGGAGGAGAGCTAGGGAGTAGGGCCAACAATGTGGGAGGGGAGGAGAGCTAGAGAGGGCCAGGGAGGGGAGGAGAAGCTAGGAGACAACAATGTGGGAGGGGAGGAGAGCTAGGGAGGGGACTAACAATGTGGGAGGGGAGAGAGAGTAGACTAACAATGGGGGGAGGAGAGTTAGAGAGACAACAATGTGGGAGGGGAGGAGAGTTAGAAGCAACAATGTGGGAGGGGAGGAGAGTAGGAGAGACCAATGTGAGGGGAGAGTAGAGGGACAACAATGGGAGGGAGAGAGCTAGGAGGAGACAACAAGTGTGGGGGGAGGAGGCTAGAGAGAGGCCAACAATGTGGGAGGAGGAGAGCTAGAGGCTATCAAATTGTGGGGGAGGGAGAGCTAGGAGTAGGGCAACAATGTGGGAGGGGAGGAGAGCTAGGGAGGCCAACAATGTGGGAGGGGAGGAGACAGAGCAGCAACAATGTGAGGGGAGGAGAGCTAGAGTGCCAACAATGAGGGAGAGCTAGGGAGTAGACCAACAATGAGGGGAGGAGAGCAGAGAAGCAACAATGGGGAGGGGAGAGAGCAGAGAGACCAACAATGTGAGGGGAGGAGACAGTAGACTAACAATGTAGGGGAGGAGAGAGAGAGACCAACAATGGGAGGGGAGGAGAGAGCTAGGAGTAGATAACAATGTGGGAGGGGAGAGAGCTAGAGTAGACCAACAATGTGGGAGGGGAGAGAGAGTATTAACAATGTGGGAGGAGAGACAGAGAAGGCAACAATGTGGGAGGGGAGGAGAGCTAGAGGTACAACAATGTGGAGGAGAGCTAGGAGAGACAACAATGTGAGGGGAGGAGAGCTAGAGTAGACCACAATGTGAGGGAGGAGAGCTAGAGTAGACAATGTGAGGGGAGGGAGAGCTAGAGAAGCAACAATGTGGGAGGGGAGAGAGCTAGGAGAAAAAGGGGAGGGGGGAGGAGAGTAGAGACAAATAATGTGGGAGGGGAGAGAGCAGAGGGACAATAATGTGAGGGAGGGAGAGTAGAGAGACAATGGGAGGGGAGAGAGCTAGGGAGAGACAACAATGTGAGGGGAGGAGAGTTAGGAGTAGACCAACAATGTGGGAGGGGAGGAGATAGAGGAGACCAACAATGTGGGAGGGGAGAGAAAGCAGGGAGGACCAACAATGTGGAGGGGAGGAGAGCTAGGAGGACAACAATGTGAGGAGGAGAGCTAGGAGTAGGCCAACAATGTGAGGGGGGAGGAGAGCTAGGAGGGGCCAACAATGTGGGAGGTGGGGAGGAGAGCTAGGAGAGGCTAACAATGGGAGGGGAGGAGAGGGAGAGTACAACAATGGGAGGGGAGAGTCTAGAGAGAGCACAATGTGAGGGGAGGAGAGTTAGAGAGACAACAGTGTGGGGAGGGGAGGAGAGCTAGAGAGACAACAATGTGGGAGGGGAGGAGAAAGGGAGAGGCAACAATGTGAGGGGAGGAGAGATAGGAGTAGACCAACAATGTGGAGGGGGAGAGAGTAGGAGAGACTACAACATGGGGGAGAGAGCTAGAGAGACCAACAATGTGAGGAGGAGAGCTAGAGAGGCAACAATGTGGGAGGGGAGGAGAGCTAGGGAGTAGACTAACAATGTGAGGAGGAGAGCTAGAGAGACCAACAATGTGGTGGGGAGGAGAGCTAGGAGTAGGCCAACAATGGGGAGGGGGAGGAGAGCTAGGGAGCAACAATGTGGAGGGGAGGAGAGTGAGTAGAGCTAACAATGTGGGAGGGAGGAGAGCTAGGAGTAACAAATGTGGAGGAGGAGAGGCTAGGGAGTAGCAACAGTGGGAGGGGAGGAGAGCTAGGGAGAAGCAACAATGTTAAGTGGGGAGAAGAAATAATAATAAACAAGAATTATAAGAGAATATGGGATGACAAGTAGTATGGCAAGATTGCAATATTTGTAATATGTTTGTAAAATGGAATGATTACAAGGATGAGTAAACAAATTGTGTTAGTATTCAGAAGTTGTGAGAAGTTTTGGCTGATGTACTGTAGACGGACAGTATTATACAGTACTGTACTTATACCACTACTTTTTTCTTATTTCTTACTGAATACTTTTGAAAATAATAGTTTATGAGTTATTTTTATCTTCTATATTGTGTTTCAATCCTGTAAAGATAATTATATATCGTTTTGTTATACCCAGTGAAGTGCCAGCTAAGCTCAAGAGGGAAGAGAGTGAAAATATTTGAAGGAGACGAAGCACATGAGGCCATGAATGGAGCCAGAATGACAAAAGAAGAAATATAAAACTGATGAAATTTTTAGAACATATTTAATGTAGTGTGACCATGTATTGGTTGTGTTGTCTGAGTTATTTGTAAGTTTATACATTTTAACATTTTATTTTTACATAAGGGTTGGGTAGAAAAGTTCAAAATTATATAAATAGATTGTGAAATTATCACAGTACTGTTTGTGTTATATAACAACAGTAGTAGATTTTATTGTTGTTTTAAACTTTTCAGGCAATTATAATATTTTAAGATTATTCGTGTATGTTAACCAAAACCAACATTGGCCAAAACACTACAAGTTTTACATCATTCAAGTGAATAAAGACAAGTAAAAGTCATGATGCTCACAGGGGATGGTGGTAAGTTTGTTTGTTTGTTTTTTCAATTTATCATTTCATGATTTATTTGAATAGCTATTGAGCATTTGGCCTTTATAACTTTTATTGCCCAGTGTTAGTAGAGGAGCAAAATTGGATACAGTACCAGGGGAAACATTGCCATGTTTGGAAGGATCACACTGGATGACACTTTCCCACATCTGCCGAGAGGCCTGAATAAGCCTGACACTGGTAAGAGGTAAGATGCTACTGTTATTCAACATTTATCTTGTTTATCTAATGGTCACTACTAGAAGTGGTAATGCCGAGTGAAGGAGGCCAGTGGCCCGGGCGAGGTGTCTCCATTGTTCTTGAAAATTTGTCAAGGGCTGCAGGTGGTTTTTGAAGCACAGTAATGTTTTTGATTCCACAGCTTGCTGGTGCACTGTTCGCAGGTCTACTACCTCTGTGTGAAGAAATATTTCTTTTGTGTTTGAGCTGCATGACAATCTCTGGTGAGCGTATAGTTATGTTCCTTCATGTTGGTGTGTAAAATATCACAAAAATGGTCAGATATTTTATTCTGCAAACCTAAAATATTTTAAAATGCCTGCAAACTGACACTGTGGCTCGCTATGTTTTCATCTATTTTGTTTATGCGATCACAAAAACAGGGTGGGTCCAAGGATAGTTTTGTGGTGCTCTTAAGAGAACCTTTTCCAATTCACAATGTACTCTATATTTAATACTCTCTTTGTTGCCTGTCTTTGAGCCATTTGTTAATTCCACGCCGTATCTTGCCTGGAATGCCATGTGCCTGGGGTCTTGGAGGAAGAAGGTATAAGGCACTTAGTCAATGCTTTTGGAGAAACTTAGTTTGTTGAGTTCAAATTGCTTCATGGAGAGTGAGTAATGGTCAAGCAGTGATTTTTCCATGAAATTGTGTTAGATGTTTTGATAAGACTGGAAGCTCGTCAGGTGTTGGATGATGGCATCTCTCAGAATTTTCTCAAAGAGCTTATGCTGCATATGAACTCAGGCTTATTGGCCTGTAGTTTTCAGCCACCCTTCTTAAGCCAACAAGACATTGGAGTTTTCCAGTCCCTAGGCACTTTGTTTTGGATCCAAAGATTTCTTGGATTAATTCTTAGTGGAGTGCAACTGTTTACAATTTCCTCAGTCACCTTAGTTGTGCTCCATCTACTCCAGGAGTTTTGAATTCTTTCAAGCTATTTTTTGATGATATCTTTCTTATTTCTGTAATTGCTTTTCTTAATTCACAACACAACAAGAATACAGCACATTGCAAGACCTTTTATGTATACTGTAAATATATTTTTTTTTATTTGTTAAGTTGCTAATTTATGTTTGGAAACCAAAATAACATTCAAGAGTACCGCACCCTTTTGGGCAACTTATTTCTTACAGAAGCTTGTATATCTGATGTCCTTCATTAGCAATACGTAACCGAACGAAGCACAACGA